GGAAAAACCCTGGGGAAACGGGGATGAGGGTCCTGGATCGGGGAAAGGGGCGTGAGGGAGCTGACCCGGCTCCAGCCGCACCGTGAGGGCGGGAACGGGGAAAAATCCCGGATTAATAGAGAAAAATCCCGGGAGGAATGGGGAAAAGTCCCGGGGAGAACGGGGATAAAGGTCCTGGATCGAGGAATGGGGGAAATCCCAGGATTCTGTGGGGGAAAGGGGCGTGAAGGATCTCACCCGGCTGCCGCCGCTCCGGAGATCACAGGGGAACGGGGAGAAATCCTGGGGAAACGGGGGAAAATCCCGGGGAAATGGAAAAAAATCCCGGGGGAAACCGGGCAAAATCCCGCGATTCTGTGGGGAAAAGAGGCGTGAGGGAGCTGACCCGGCTCCATCCGCTCCGTGAGGGGCGGAAACAGGGAAATCTCGGAGGAATGGGGAGACATCCTGGGTTAATGGAGAAAAATCCCGGGAGGAATGGGGAAAATCCCGAAGATTCTGTGGGGGAAAGGGGCGTGAGGGATCTCACCTGGCTGCAGCCGCGCCGTGAGGGGCGGGAACGGGGCAGTCCTGGGGGAACGGGGAGAAATCCTGGGGGAACGGAGAAAAATCCCGGGAGGAATGAGGAAAATCGCGGGGTTTTGTGGGGGAAATCCTGTGGAAACGGGGGATGAGGGTCCCGGATCGGGGAATGGGGAAATCCCAGGATTCTGTGGGGAAAAGGGGCGTGAGGGATCTCACCCGCCTGCCGCCGCTCCGTGAGGGGCGGGAAAAGGAAAATCCCGGAATTCTGTGGGGAAAAGGAGAAAAGGAAAAAAAAGGAAAACCCAAGGTTCCTCGCAGATCTCGTGGACGTCACGTCGGTGAATCCCGATTTCCCGGTGTCGGATCCCACCGTCTTCCAGAAGCGGTACCTGAAGAAAATCCGGGAGCTGGGCGAGGTCAGTGACGTCCTGAGCTCTGCAATTCTGGGGAAGCTGGGCAGGCTCTTTTCCCTGTCTGGATCCGAAATTCCATGTATCAATCCTTATTTTCACATTTTAACCTGTATCCCCTGCTGATTTTTCCCTCCATTTCTGAACTTTGTCAACCCCCTCTGCATCCTCCCAGCACAGGGAAGCCCCAAAACCTCCTTTCCCCACGAAATCCTGAAAATTCACCCTTCTCCAGGGCCACTTTGGGAAGGTGAGCCTGTGCTGCTACGACCCCACCAACGACGGCACCGGGGAGATGGTGGCGGTGAAATCCCTGAAATCTGGGAGCAGCCCCCAGCTCCTGAGCTCCTGGAAGAGGGAAATCCAGATCCTCAAGACCCTGTACCACGAGAACATCGTCAAGTACAAGGGCTGCTGCAGCGAGCAGGGTGAGGGAGAAAAACATGGGGATTTTCCAGTGGATCAGCCACAGAGAGCTTAAAAACCCCAATTCCCAGGTTGTTTTGGCCAGGAATCGCTGTCCTGGCAGGAATTTGGGGGCTCTCGGGGTGGTCCCCACATTCCCACCTGTGTGTTCCAGGGGACAAGGTGGTGCAGCTGATCATGGAGTACGTCCCGCTGGGGAGCCTCCGGGAATTCCTGCCCAAGCACCCCCTGAGCCTGTCCCACCTCCTGCTCTTCGCCCAGCAGATCTGCGAGGTGAGCCCGGAATGGGGCTGGATCCCGAAAAAACCGCATGATTCCCCAAAAAAAATGGGGTTGGATGACTCAAAAATGGGGGTACAACCCCAAAATGCAGCAGGATTGACAAAAAAGTGGGATGGGATCCTTTGGAAATGGGGCTGGATTCCCAAAAATGAGGATGAACCCCTGAAAAATGGGGCTGACACTTCAAAGTGAGGCTGAACTCCAAAAAATGGAATTGAATTCCCCCCAAAAATGGGGAAACGCAGGAGTACCAACCCTCCAATGGGGCTTAATTCCCAGAAATGGGGCCGATTCCCAAAAAAAAGGGGATGAACCCCCAGAAATACGTCACAGCTCCCCCAGAAACACCTCAGAGCCCCCCAAAACCGCTTCCAGCCTTCCCAAATCCAGCCATAATTTGTTTTTTTCCCCATTTTCCCAGGGCATGGCCTACCTGCACTCCCTGCACTACATCCACCGGGACCTGGCAGCCAGGAACGTGCTGCTGGAGAACGAGCACGTGGTGAAAATCGGGGATTTTGGGCTGGCCAAGGCTGTCCCCGAGGGCCACGAGTACTACAGGGTGCGGGAGGACGGCGACAGCCCCGTGTTCTGGTGAGGAATTCGGGCTTTGGGAACCTGCTGGATCCCAGACCCCAGAGATGTGACCCCAAATGGTTCCAGGTACGCCCCGGAGTGCCTCAAGGAGTGTAAATTCTACTATGCCTCGGATGTTTGGTCCTTTGGGGTGACCCTCTACGAGCTCCTGACGCGCTGCGACCCCGGGAGCAGCCCCCCGGCCGTGAGTCCTCTGGGAATTCAGGGGGTTTTGGGATGAAATTGGGTTTTTCCCCATGTTTTTGGGTTGAAATTGGGGTTTTTCCCTCATGGTTTTGGGGTTTTCTTGTCCCCTCACAGAAATTCCTGGAGATGATCGGGGCCACGCAGGGGCAGATGACAGTGCTGAGGCTGATCGAGCTCCTGGAGAGGGGGAAGAGGCTCCCCATGCCCAGGGATTGTCCCTGCGAGGTGGGAAATGGGGAAAAAGGGGAGGAAATGGGGAAAAATGGGATGGGAAGGAGGAAAAGGGAGAGAGGAAGGAGAAAAGGGGGGAAATGGGGAGGGGAGAAGGGGGAAAATGGGAAGGGAAAAAGGAAAATGGGAAGAGAAAAAAGAGGGAATGGGAAGGGAAGGAGGAAAATTGAGGAAGAGGAAGGAAAAAAGGAGCGAGGGAAAAAGTGGGAGGAGGAAAAATGGGGAAGGAAAGATGAGGAAAATGAGGAAGAAAGGGGGGAAAAATGTGGAGAGAAGGAGAAAAACAGGGAAGGGGAGGAGCAAAGTGGGAAGGGAGGAGAGGAAAGGGGAAAGTTTCAAATTCCTGGGGGGAAGAGGAGAGAGGTTTTCCCTGGATTTTTGGGGAGGTTTTACCAGGATTTTTGGGGAAGTTTTCCCGGGATTTTGGGGGAGGTTTTACCAGGATTTTGGGGGAAGTTTTCCCAGGATTTCTGGGGAGGTTTTCCCAGGATTTCCCCGTTTTCCCCCAGGTTTACCGGCTGATGAAGAACTGCTGGGAGGCCGAGGCCTCGTTCCGCCCGGCCTTCCCCAACCTCGTGCCCGTCCTGAGGAGTTTCCAGGAGAAATACCGGGCTCAGGCCCCCTCTGTCTTCAACCTCTGCTGAGGGGGGACCCCAAAATACCCTGGGACTGGGGGGAAAACACCCCCAAAAAAATCCTATGGGATAGGGGTGGGGGAACCCCAGAAAATCCAATGGGGATTGGACTGGGGGGAGAAATCCCATAAAAATCCCATAGAATGGCTGGGAAAAATCCCAAAAAATCCATGGAATGGGGAGGGGAGAAACCCCAAAAAAATCCCATGGAATGGGGAGGAAAACCCCAAAAAAAAAATCCATGGAATGGAGGAAAAAAATCCCATGGAATGGGAGGAAAGCCCCAAAAAATCCCATGGAATGGGGTGGGGGCTAAAATCCCCAAAAGAATTCCATAGAAGGGGAAGAAAAAACAAAAAAAAAAATCATGGAAGGGGTAAAGGACCCCAAAAAATCCATGTAATGAGGGGGAAAACCCCCAGAATTTAATTAAATGGAAGGAAAAAACCCCCAAAGTTCCATGGGAAGAGAGGGTATCCCCACTTCTGGACCCAACCCCTCAAAATTCCTGATATTTTCTCTCCCCCTCCCACCAAACACTGTGAACGAGCTCTGGGGCCGGAGATTTTGGGGTGAAAAGGGGGAATTTGTGGATTTCTGGAATTGTTGCCTTATTCCCAGCCCCATCCTCTCTCCCAGTTTGGGGCTGGGGTCGTTTTTGGGGGGTGGGAGGGGCTGGATCTCCTTCCTGCTCTCCAGGATTTTGGGCCTTTTCCCAAAAAAAACCCGAAAAATGGGAATTCCATGAAAAAAACCAAACCAAACCAAACCTGGCACTTTATCGGGATTTTGGGGAATTCCCAAAAATTCCCTTATTTATTGCCTGCTGTGCCCTCCCCCCCAGGAGCTGGGGGGGATTTGGGGGAAATCCCCTGGAATTTGGGGCGGGGGGTTGGGGTTTGGGGGGAATCCAAAGGGTCCCTGAATAAAGGATGGAAAAGGCTCCGTGTTTGGCGTCTCTGTGGTTTTTTGGGGTCTTTATTTGGGTTATTTTGGGGGTCTTTATTTGGGCTATTTTGGGCTCTCTATTTGGGTTATTTTTGGGTACTTATTTGGGTTATTTTGGGGGGTTTTTTGGGGGCGTATTTGGGTTTTTTGGGATCTCTGTTTGGGATGTTTTGGGGTGTTCAACGGTCCAGCGGAACCAACCAATATGAATCCGCGATCTTGGGGCTCGCCCGCTGCCACCCAATCCCAGCCGCGGACACAACGAGCGTTCCCTTCTACCCAATAGCAGCCGCCGGCTCATCCGCCGTGTTTTTCCGCGCTGCCCAATCCCCGCCTCGGCTACTCGTGGNAAAACGCTGGGGAAAACATCAAGAATTCCCAGGGAAAATACCAGAAATTCCCAGGGAACACCAGATCCTAACTAGATTCCTTCCCAAAGCTGAGAAAAATCCCAGTTTTATGTTTTTTTGGGAATAAAACTCACCGAGTTTTGTGGGGGTGTTTTTGGGGGGGGAATGAAACCTGCTGAGTTCAGGTTTATTGAGAATAAAACTGAGTTTAGGTTTGTTGGGAATAAAACCAGCCAAGTTTTGGTTCCTTGGGAGCAAACCCCCTGGAATTTCAGTTTTTGGGAGGAAAGCCCTGGTTCCAGCTGGCTTTTCCCATTCCTGGCAGGAATTACCCCGCTCTGCTACAGCCTCTTCGCCCTCTACGACCCCCAGAGCCGGATCTGGCTCCCTCCCAACCACCAGTTCCACATCGGGAAGGACACCAGCATCAACCTGATCTTCAGGATGAGGTGAGGCTTTCTTTGGAAAAAGCGGTCCCAGTTGAAGGAGGGGAATGATGGATTTGGCCTCTCCATCGGCGTGGAAAAATCCGCTTCTTTCTTCCCGAAATTCCTCTGCCTTTCAACATCCCTCCCAGAGGTTTTTGGGATCAATAGGGGGTCCATGGCTAAAAAAGGTGGGGAAAGCTTTAAATGATCCCATTCTGGAGGCAGGAGGAGGCTGCTGCTCTTCACTCCCAGCTCGGATTCATTCCCTGTGCTCAAATCCTGATTTTTTTAAGCATTTTGCTGTTTCTCCCATGGTTCCGAGAAGTTTTATTCCTTAAAAAACCCCCAAATCCCCTGATCTGAGCCCAGAATGTGACTCCCAGCCCCTCTCCTGCTGTTCTCTCTCCATTCCAGGTTTTATTTCCGGAATTGGCACGGGATGAACAACAAGGAGCCTGTGGTTTTCCGGAATGTGCCGCGCTCGGGGGATTCTCCGGAGGAAAAACCTCCTGGAGGAGCTTTACTGGACAGATCCTCCTTTGAGTACCTGTTCGAGCAGGTAACGGGGCGGGATTCGGGGGAAAAACGGGATGATTTTCCTCAGTCCAGCTGGACTTGGCTCAGAATCCGTAATTCCATCCCCAGGGGTTTATTTAAGGGTAAAAACACCCCTGAGTTTTCCCTCTGGAAAAGGAAAACTGCTGGGATGCAGTTTTCCCTTTTATGGGATTTTTACTCACAGTCCCACTTTTTAAATTGGAAAACACAAGGAAAATCCTTCCGGAAATCACCTCAGGGCTGAGTTTTACTCCCAATTATTCCACATTTAACAGGGAAAATTCGAGTTCATCAACGACGTCGCCTCCCTGAAGGATTTCCAGACCGAGCCGGAAATGCAGAAGTTCAAGAACGAGAGCTTGGGGATGGCCGTGCTGCACCTGTCCCACATCGCCATCAAAAAGGGCATTTCCCTGGAGGAAGTGGCCAGGAAGTACAGGTGAAATTCCTGCTTTTCCAAGGGGGTTTTTCCTCCTTTTTCCACTGGGTTTTTTTTTTTCCTCGTTCTGTGCCATTTTTCCATTGCATCCCAAGCTCGTCCTCCACTCTTGCCTGACAATCCCCTTTATTTTGGCAGCTTCAAGGACTGCATCCCGCGCTCCTTCCGCCGCCAGATCCAGCAGAACAACTTCCTGACGCGGTTCCGCATGAAGAACGTGTTCCGGCGCTTCCTGCGGCGCTTCCAGCGGCACACG